TTGTTGTAGTATGGAAGCTGAGTTTGTTTTTGTTTTAATAAACACTCACTCCATTACAGAATCAAACATTTAAATAGGAATACGTGAGTCTATGCCACCAGATCTCTGTGACTGGATGCTAAATATTGCAGTAATTCCGGTCGGCTGATGAAATATTATTCTGCTGATTTTCATAGATGGGGGCGTACATATACCTATGTATTGTACATATGTACATACAAATGTTCGTATGTTCTTAGGTTAAAGGTCAACAGCTCTTTTTTTTACTTTTCATGCAGAACAACCTTTTTTGTCCTATATATGTATGTATATAAAGCATAGTATTACGAACATTAGTTTGCTTAAAAAAATTTCCGTACAAACAAATATGTTACGTATACGCCCTCCCGAACAACGAAAATATGCCATAAACCTGAATTCTACCTGCCGTTATTATAATCTTTTATATATTTGTGGCTGAACTATATATGAATTCGCTAATTACCAAAGGGAATAAGTCGGCATTTTTTGGTTATTTCAACTTTGATGCAGTTCGGTTCGTTTAAAGGAGCTCTGTTGAACTGCTTAAAATTTGCCATATCGGAAAAATGCTGACTTTTTATCCCTTTGGTAATTAACCGATTCGCATATGAATTATGAAATGGAATATAGGAACCGAAAGGGAGCTTTGTTAAATATTTGTGTGCACATGTAATTATGCCTGGGTTCTTCGACCACAAACAAGCAAAAAATTTCGAAATCACCTTGTAAAAGCACTTTAGGTTCAGCAGTGTTCGGGGAACTTTTCTTTGTTTGTTTTTAAGGTGGTACGGTCTAATGTACAATTATACATACATATGTATATGAGAATATGTTTTCTGTCCAACTGTTTTATTTAAACAACTGAAAATTTTATCGGCTTTAATATGGCTGTCAATAATACAGCATTTAATAAATACACTCCACGCATAACAATCGCCAACGTGAGAACCACACCACATACCACTTGACAGCTACGAGTGCATACATAACTGGTTGCGGGTGCTCAAATTCCTAACGAATTCCTGCAAAGAAATGTGTGCATGCGCAGTACAAGTGGCGCATATGCGTATGTATGGCTCACAAGGATGCGCTAAAAATACATTTGCATCATCGTCCGGAGAAAGCAGGCCGGCAAAGCTGGTGTCGAGGAGAAAAGACTCGCGTAAAGTATTTGTGACAACGGCAGGCTCACGCATTCATCATATTCTTCATACTCGTACTCATTAAATTTCTTATTAACTGCCAATTCTTTCTTCTTCTTCTTTATTAATACGAGTACGAGCAAATTGTCGTAAATTGAATTATTGTGCGTGGCATCGATGGCTGCGCTAACTGCGGTTACCGATTTGACGTTATTGTTAACAAAGTTATGACTATTTAATGGTAAATTGTGTGGGCGAAAAGGAATACCTACTTGAAATCTTCATTGGAGTACATTGGTTGCTTACTTGCTTCGAAGTGGCGTGCTGGTGATGCGCGTTATTGATGTTTAGGAATTTTTACGCATTCTACTCAAGCATTCCTATCAGCTGCTGTAGTCCTACTGTGGTTGTTGTTGGTGCTTCCGAGTTGCGTGGGGGGAATGTATGTATGTGTGTCTGGCATGTCCTTATTGCCAACTCACAATTGTACACATCCATTTTCGAAATGCAGTGAACTTGTGGCCAATGTAGGCGGGCCTGTGCATGTAAATATGTATGTATGTCTATTATATGGGTATATGAATGTATGTAAATGAGTATGTGTATGCGCATACAAAGAAAAGAAATGAGGCTGCAAAAGACAAAGATGCTGAATTGAATGGCAGTTTCTCCGCTAAACACTTGAACGTTGTGCACAAAAGTTCATTAATGAAAATTTAATTAAATTGAACGTGTCGAATATTTAGCGATTTTTTTTTCTATTTTCCAATCGGCGGGCAATTCAGTTAGTTGTAAGTGCAAATATATATTATGAAATATAAATAGCCGTAACTAACATCGTCAGCTGAAATGCAAAATTCTAATAAAAAATTCAAAACTCAATTTTTGATTGATATGATGCGCTTCATCGAATTACTACCTCCCACATCGTTTTATGCAATAAATATTATTTATTGGGCACGTCCCTTTGATTTTCATGGACCGATATATACATGGGTCATTCCATAAAAAATTTACACCTCAATGTTTTTTTGGTGAGATATATATTTTTTTTACATTCTTTATTAAAAAAAAAAGAAAACACCTATTTTTTATTTCGTCATGATATTCGAAATATCCCGAAATTTTGAGCTCACAGAGATGTATCTTTTTTCAATTTTCGCAACTATTTGTCGGAGAAAATCAGTTAAATAATCAAAATGTACGTAATTACCGGGCTATAGTGTACCTACATACAATACACAGAAAAAAATGTGACAGATATCGTCTCGAAGCCAGTTTTACGAAAGCAACCTATGTAAGTGAAAAATAATTTTTTTATTTGAATTTCAGAAGGCGCAACAGCTCAGTAACTGTTGCGATTGCACCTTCTGAACGCGTTGTTATGTACTTCTGATCAACTGAACAGTTGCGTGTTAGATGATCATAATATTTCTCTGATCATTTGAGACAACATGTTGTGTGTTTTGAATTTGACAGATAATGTATCAAGCCGTTCAGAAGACGCATTACTATCACTGATTTTTTTAGCAACGGTTGCGCTCAACTGCTGCGCCTTCTGAACCTACCCAATAAAAAATTCCTAATGTTTTTTTTAAGCAAGAAAATTCTTCTTTTCTGTTTTTGTACCACACAAAATCAATTTATCCTCAATTAATTAGTTCACGGCTGCCATTAGATTTTAAGCCGACCCTTCACAGTTTTTGAGCTTTCAAACAATTTATCAAGCCCAAAACAATTCGAAAATCTCGAATATAAATGATTCATTATATCAGAAAAAGTAGTCATTGACATAAAACGTTTCGCAGTATTACCGACCTCGAGCAGTCGAGCATCATAGATCATTGTCGTATGATTGTTCCATTTACTGCCTCTAGGCGGCTTTTCATCTTCGTCGATTGGTGTGTGAACTTTTATATAGGTGGCGCATCCCTTGCTTACGATATTCCTCATCGCTAACTCGAAAGGGGTTTAACAACTGTCGTGAAATACTTTCCTCGAAAAGCAAAGGGCATGCATGGATACAACTTTTGTTGTTTACAGAGGTGTTTTAGTGCTCAATCGTTTAGTAGCACTTATACAGGAGGCGATCTTTGCAGAATTGCGAAGCTGATATTGTTGCTGTTTTCTAAGTCGAGGAAGTTTTCTTACATTTCTTTAGAACATTTTAACCTCGAATTGCCAATACGGCAGAAGTTAAGGGATTAAAATAATTTAAGAACAACTTTGTGGCAAAACTTATATATAGGAACGAGAATTATGTTAAAGATCAGTTTGTAAATATATAAAATTATAAGTGTAATTGAATTTGTGACCAAAAACTGTTAACTTAAACCCATTTTGATAATAATTTGTGATTAGGTGAAACAAAATCCTCTCAGGGCTTGATCATGTACGAATACTACTGTCTGAGCATAGTTCGGTTGCAGTTGGTCTCAGTCCTTAAAAAGGTGTGATTAATCCGCTAGCTTGGTAACTTGGCTAATATAGTATATATAGAATTGCCGAGAAGTTCGGTGGGTAGGTGGCCTGCTCACCCCCTGCAACGAAGCCAGATATTTAGCGTTGGTTATTCTTAGAACAGGATGGATTTTATCATGAGATTTTTACCCTTTTTGATCGGCTAAATAAAGATAAAAATCGTATCTAAAGGAGTCTATACGAAATATCGAAATCAAATTAAACAAAAGAATCTAAGTATTGTTTTTAAATACAGAATCACCCCTTAAAGGCTAGCGCGTGGCTATAATACCGAAATTTAGAGGAAATAAAGTTAATTATTCCGACTACGAAAAGTTATTTAGTACAAACCTCTGGAAGTATTTGCGGTAGAGTACTGGACTCATGGAAAAAATGTGGGTTCTTGGAAAAGTGCCCGGTGGCCCCGGCCTTACAGATTTAATTTTATATACTACCACCTGTTAAAAAATTAACTTAAATTCAAAGTGTTTTATAAGTTAAATTAATTATTACAAAATGGATGTCGATCGAGTCGTTATACCCCAGAAATGGTGACTCTTTAGGAATAAAAGTGTCATAAAGGGGGTTTTAGAGATAATTGCATGATCTACACTTTTGGTCTAATCTATTTTTATGAAAAAAACCTTACAGTTTAACTGAAAAATTGTAAAAATCAATTTGTGACATTTGACCTTCAATAATTTTTTTACAGATCTGGGATCAAGGACTTTTCACATTTCATTTATAATGACGTTCGTAACATCTAACTTGACCAGGCTAATAGAAAACAATTTTGAAAATATGGTTTAAATAGAGTAGCAATTAAAAAATATTAGTTACGCGGGTTATAATGTACTTCAATTGGGTTGACAAGTCCTCATTTATGAAAAAAAATTGTGCTATTATGAGATTTCTTATATGAATCCGAATATGAAGTGTATTTAAAATACCGCCATATGTACATATGTATGTGTGTATATTTAGATTTTTTTGGGACATACTATGTACATTGATGAAACTTCTAAATATTTATTCCTCCTACTAAGTATTTTGAGCCAGCGGCCTTTAACTTTATCACACTGTTCAATGGCCTTCACCCTGTTAACCCAATTTGTTGTAGGAAATTGTTTTACAAATTCCTTAAGCAAAATAAAACGAGTGGTGATGAAAAACATGGTGAACGCATAACTTGACAGGATACGCTGAGGAATTAAATACTCGCAGTGGGCCAGCATAATTTAATTTCAGCACTTGAATTAGTCTCATTCGCCACAGCGCTATGCGTTGGTGGTCAGTTAAAAATGACGGCGATTATATACAAACATAAATATTTAACGCTTTAGTAATATTTGCTGCGTTTTTTTTCTATCTTTCCAGATTTAATATAAAAAGTAAGTTTAAACCCAAAAAAAAAAATGATGCACTATCGGAAAGGAGAAAATATCGAGCAAGAATTGACTAAAGATGATTTGCCATTCGATGATTGTTTGCCCAAGTTACCACAGAAGGAGTTTCTCTGGATGCATGTAAGAACTTTCACTATTTTATATTTCTATTAATAAATATGTTGTTATGTACATACATATATTTTCGTTAGCCTTTTTACACATACATACATATGTATTTATGTACATATGTGTTTTCATATTCATACTTGATCATTCCGCAGGTAAGAGGTGGCACAAAGGTACACAATGTTATCAGCTATGCAAAGAATGCTTTGGACAAGGGCGAATATCGTACAGTTGTCTGGAGTGGCTCCGGAGGCGGTGTAGTGAAGACAGTGTCCTGCGCTGAAATATTAAAGCGGAGCTATCCTCTACATCAATTGACGCGTATGGCTCAAATAACGTAAGTTGAAGTGACTGCTCTTCTGGGTCATTTATACATACATATATGCAGTGATCGAAAACATTATAATCAAGCTCGAAATTTTTACGAAAGATTTTAAAAATTTTAATTTTGATTTTGTTCTCCAGACGCCACTATCCAATTTATATGTAGAATTGCTCGCTGATTCCGAAAATCAAGTCAATTTTTTTTTTGTATGGATACGTCCTCGAGACTTTTATTTACCGTTATTCAGCTTAAAAAAATAAAAGTGAACCACTTAATCAGGTATATCTTTCGAACCAATTAAATAATCATAATACGAGATACTGCATTCTCCACAAACCCTATATACATCACTTTTCGATAGCCCTGACAGTTTCTGAGAAATTAACTAATCATTCCAGATTTTTTGTTCTTTTTTTTCGTTTTTTATGGAAAAATGTAAAAATATCAAACTTTAACAGGGACTAAATTAAAAAAAAAAACAATTTCTGTGTAAATGTTTTGCACTTGTGTTAGAGCCTGTTCCTTGAAGAAAATCGATGGAAAAATAAGAAGAAAATGATTGGTCAAATGGAAATGCGCAAGGATTTTTTGTATGAAATATGAGCAGAAAAGAGTGTTACTCATACGCCACGTACACCTAAGTAGGCAGCGTGTTTGCATCGAAAACAAGAGGTTTCAGAAATGATCAATTAATGTCTCAGAAACTAAAGATTTTGATATACGGTTTGATTTGCTTTCATTTCCCGTCTTACGATTATTCAATTGGTTCGTAAGATATACGTGATTAAGTGAATTCACTATTTTTTAAGCTGAATAACGGTAATCGGTATCTCGAAAATTTATTCATAGAAAAAAAATTATCTTGATTTTCGGAATGACCAACCAATTCTACATAGGAATTGGATAGAGGCATATATAGAAAATTTTTGCTGTAAACCAGTGTTATTGATCGTTTTTTTTTTGTTTTTTAATATCGCACAAAGTTTGAAACTTGGATTTACAAGGCTTTTGTTAGAGAACGAACTATACCTATTTTTATAAAAAAATAACTAAAATTAAATAGCACAAAAATAATAATATGTTAAAACTTACCAATATGTAGTGCGGCTATCATTTTTTCGACCATGTAGATACTAAATACATATGTACACAGATAACTAGGCAGGAAAAATGTGTTTGTTTGTATTATTTTTCCCTTTTTAGCATCGAAGAGCATTGGGTGCCACAGACGGATGGTTTGGATCCGATTGTAGCCAAACGTAAAGTTCCTAGCTTACACATACTAATGACGCTGGATCCAATTGATGACTCTATTGTGGAGTAAGTATATTATTTATCTTTGTGTTTTAGACTTTTTTACATTGAATAAATAGCAGCTGCAGGGTTTAAATTTTAATTTTTTTCATTCGAAGTGGTCCATGTATTGACACTTTTGTTTACCTTTTTTTACGTTTTGTTTTGGTATAGAGGAAAAAAAATTGTTTTTGAAATGTATGTAAAAACATTACATGTACATTAGCGTGGAGCGGAAGCAAAACATTTTGCGTTTCGAACTTCTAATAGGGGGAGGGATCGTTGCCTTTAGACGTCAATAGAATACCCCTACATTTTTATTGAAATCGGTTAATACTTTCTGCGTAACATTATTTATCAAAATCATGTTTAGAAAAATTCTAGTAATGTACTTTTGTAGGTCATTAACTTTTTGTAGCTAAGAATGAAGATGTTGCTCATTTTCTCCAATAAAACAACTCTGTCGATCATATTTTGTATGGCAGAAAATGCTTGGCACCATCAATACAAAAAAGTGAAAAATCAGCGGTAGCCATTCTAAACTTGCACTGTATTATACTAAAATTAATGGCCTACGACGATCCCTTGCAATTAGAGTTTCTAATCCAACATTTTCTTTCCGCTCCACCTTAATGTGCATACATACTTATTTATTTCGAAACATTACCCTTACCATTACCGTTGGCATTACAAGTACCGTTGCCATTACCAGCATCATTACCATTACTAGCATCGTTACCATCACCAGTATCATTACCATTACCAGCAACATTACCGTTACCATTACTATCACCATTGTCGATACCTTACTGTTTTCATTTTCGTTACCATTACCATTACATGTACTTATATTTACCTTTACAGTTACCACTATAGTTATCATTACCATTACCTTAAATGTTATTTTTACCATTAACATTATCATTGTCATTAGCATTACCATTAAAAATTACTAATTATCGTACCATTACCAGTTATCTCTACAATTATCATTGCCTTTACCGCTACCCTTACTATAACCATAACCTTAACATCCTTTACACATAATGTTAATCGTAGTGAAAGTTTTACCTTACCAAAGCCAAATACCTTTCATATATAAAATCGTTGTCCGCTTGCTCATAAACGGATTACAACAGACTGTTTGTTGGAAATGTCTAGTATACATAATAGGGTGGTCCAAAAATGCATGTGAAAAAGTAAAGTCGGAATTTTTATGCTCTCACTCCCTAGTATTATTCTATACCGAAAAAATATACCCGATTTTTAATTTGAAATAAAAAAATCACAAAGCTTCATATGTACATATCTATTTTATATGGGAAATAACAACTTTTCGTAGAAATGGTATAGAATTCTTGAAAATCAATATTTTTTGAGCGGAAAACTGTTTCTTTCAGGAGATTCCCAATAATAATAGCCGATTATTTTTTTAACCATTTTTTCACAGTGAATATATTTTATAGGACCGCTAAAACCCCTAGAAAATGCCAGAAAATGCAATGGGGGATAAATAACAAAAATTAATTAAAGAGAACCAGAGTTTTCCGATTAAAAAATATTGGTTTTCAAGAATTCCATATCATTTCTACGAAAAGTTTTTTTTCCCTATATAAAATACATGGAAAACTTTGAGCGCTTTCATATTTTTTGATTTCTAAATAAAAAAAACAGGGGTATATTTTTTTAGATATAGAAGAATCCTAAGAAGTGAGAGCATTGAAGTTCCGAATTTACTTATCTTTGGTCACCCTAATACTTAAACACGTTTTTCTGTCCAATTCGGATTTGCTAGGAAAATTGGTTGTTGTTGTTGTTGTAACAGCATACAAATTCCCCAAAGAGTCTTTTGGCGAGTGTTGCTGTAGTGACAGTCCTTGGCCATATATAAATCTGGGTCGTTCCGTTTACGTAGACCCGATAGTCGTGGGAACGTGTGAAAATTGGTAATTTCTATCAATTATAGTTTCGGTGAAAAGAGTACATATTCCTTTGCAGTAAAGCGGCAGTATGCGCTTACACTTTATCCACAGTTCTGTATTACTTAATTGGTACGGTTTCTCTAGATTTCTCTTTATGTTTAGTGTTTATGTAAGTTAAGACAACCACTAAATTTAAGTTAAACTTTCTTACATTTTCATCTTGCCTTAGAAAATATTCAAACAAAATGTTTGTTATACAATTTTCTCCACCTCTCTCCATGCTCTCTATCCCTCATCTCAGCGTGCAGAAACCCAACACTACCACAGAGTACTGGAGGGGCTGGAGTGGTAGTGCACAGCAGCAGCAGCAGCAAAAACAATCACATTATGCAGGACCAAGCGGTGAAGGTCGCACGCAACAACAACAACAACAACGTCACCAGAGACAAAAACAGTCACGTCAAGGAAAAGCCCAGAATCAAGAAGCACGGCAGGAATCGGAAGAAGTTGGAAAAAGTGGAGGAGAGCTGCGTGAACGCTCCCAAAGACCACAAAATTCAAATAGAAATCGTGGTGAGCAACGCAGAGCGCGTAACGAAAATAATGTTGGTCAACATCAGCCACGGCAATTTCAAGAATCGCCACAGCAATCGCAGCAGCAGCAACCTCAGGGTGATGGAGGGCAGCAAAGGGAGCAACAATCGCAGCGACATCGCCGGCCAAAACCGAAGCAGAGGACACAACAACAACAGCAGAAACAAAATCAATCGCAACAAGCCATGCAAGTAGAGACGGCATCAGCATCGGCATCAGACCCAGCGTCTGCGTCAGCGTCATCAACACCATCGACCACAAACACCTCATCTACGGCTTTAGAGCCAATGGAACCTTAAATGGAAAGGAGTTTACCTTTTTTTTTTAATTGCTATTGAAGGCATATTTTTCTTTACAAACATACATAAGTATGTACGTAATATGGATACATAAATACTTGTTAAAAAACAAGTCCAAAATACAGATATTTCAAATTTTTACAGTTCAAATCCAATTTGAACAAACTTTCAAAAGGATAGCTTTGGGCAAATAAGCGTAAGTACGAAATCTACTACTGAGTGGAAGATCGACCTATCTCGACAGCCATTCGAGCAGCAGTCGAAATGCTCTCAAAAAAGTGAATAAACTGCCCAAAAAAACCAGGAGAGCGCAAAAATTTTAATTAAAGTCACTCAATTGTTTTCCACATATTAATGAATTAATTATTTGGAAAAACGGCATACATATATTGATTAGTTAAAATTGGAATCTTTATACTACTTCCTCTTCTTATGGCAGTTTGACAGTTTTCACAAACTCGCCCGGGCGATCTCTGCTAGTGAGAAACAAAAATTACTCTCTCAAAGTGGCTCTGAACCAGTGATCGCACTTCTACCACATTGTGGTAGATCTGCCACTTTTTTCAGCATCTACCACATCTACCACACAAGGTCTGAAATCTACCACATATTCGCTTTTTTGAGTAGTTTTATTTTTGCTCGACATAATTTTCTTAATTTTAAGAGCAAAAATTGTCCAACACTTAACACTAACAACAGGCAGAATGGGATTATAAAATAAACTGTAAAATATTAAATTATCTCAATATTCGATTTTTTGACAGGAAACGTGGTTTTATTGCTTTAAATTCCAAAATATATGATTTATAAAAAGAACTAATAGAGAAAATGTTAAAAGCCGGCGATTTTTGAGAAAGAATTGGCAAATTTTAGTGCATCTAAAGTTTCTAAAGCGTTGTTTACTTTTACTTGAGAATTGTCAAAATCGGCAAATCGCAAGTAGCGGTTTCCTGAAACGTGCCACATTTATTCGCTACATCGTGATGTGATAAAAAGAAAAGCTGGCAGCACTCCGTAAGGTTGCATAAATCTTTTAAAATATGTTCAAAAAATATCTTGATATAGAAGGAACTGCTTTACATGTTCAAGAAAAAAAATTGCCAAAACTCAACGCAATTTTAGCAACTTAAATCTTGCACTTTATTATACTAAAATTAATTTTTTTTTAGATTCTAATTAAAATGTTTGCAATTTATGTGAAACCTTGCAGAATTTGTTTAATTTTTGTAAAAAGTTTGTTCCAAAACTTGAGATCTACCACAATTTTTTGAAATCTACCACATTTTTTCCAGATTCTACCACACAATTTTTTTAAATAAAATATTGTTAATTTTTTTTTATTTAATATAAAAAATTGCCGTTTTTTTTAATAATCAGCTCTTAATAGTTTATAGATAGGGTGGCCAGATTTCTGTGTACAAAAAACGGGACATTTCTAAAGCATCGAATCCGTAATTGTAATTTTGTTTTTATAATAAAAAGACTAACATAGTATTTTACCATAGTTTTATTTAAAACAACAAGAAAAGAGAAAAAACTTGAAAAATTATCGCATTTCCCTGCATTCATATCTCTGCATTTTTTGAGGAAACTAGTATTATTTTTTATAATTTTACTAAATTCAAGTTAGTAATGTTTGACTAAAAAAACAACAAACTGAACAAATGGTTACAAGAAGCTCAAAATGAAGCAAGAATGGTAGACTGTAATATAGCGAGAGTAGAAGTTTGACAAAATGACCAAAAATCATAGAATATAAGGATGCTGGCTATATTTATAGCTCCCTTATATTCTATTGGCCTTATTCATAAAAAATAAAGTAGGTTTCAAGAGCTTTATAAATTGACGTTTTCATATATTTTCCAATTTATAAGCCTTTTATAAAGCTACTTTATTTTTTATGAATAAGGCCATATGTTTTTTGTGATAACTAAACTGCTGTCACGTTTGTTCAGAAAAATGGTTTTTGGGCCAGAATTCACGGAGGCTCCTATTAAATTAATAAAGAAAACCCAGAAAATCGGTATTTAATCGGTCCAAATATGAAAAATCCCGACTTTTAAAAAATATTCAGCGGGACAATTTCCTCAAAATCGGTCACCCTATTTATAGACAAAGAACCTAGATAATAAGAAGGGACAACATATAATTGTAGCGTTTGTGAGCAACAGGGGCGTACCTTCTCTTATCATCGTATTTTGGCAAAAGAAAAGACGCGCTCCTGTCACTCACACTCGCTGCAATTATAACGTGTTATCCCCTCTTATTGTCTATGTTATTTGAAATAGACCGACAGTATTTTGCCAAATCTCAGAATCAGAAACCTGGGCTCGAATCGTAATAGTCGTGAACGAGCAACTCTTCACGTAAAAATTAATATTTCGGCGAAAAAATATTTGTGCCGACTTGTTACGTCTTTTTGCATTTCAGGTGACCTTTTATTCCACCTTTTATCATACCTGCGCATGTTTTTTATGCTTTTGTTGTTAGAAGTGGAAACTCGCTGTGAAAAGCTTATTATTAGTTTCTGAAATCGGGCAAAACTTAAAAAAAATTATTATGGATGTGATAAAAAATTTGAGTATGTTTCAGGTTGCATCCGTCAATGTTTTAATCACATTTTTTTTTACTAGTTTATACTATCGTTGGCACGAAGAGACTGCAGAACCATGATGGGTGTCCGAACAGGACATAACATGTTGGCAGCGCACGCACGCAAAATGGGGATTGCTGTCAGTGAAGTTTGCAGGAAATGTATGGTGACGGCATCAAGGGATACCCTAGCAGACGATTGAAGTATCTCGGAGCTCGAGAGTTCAATAATCTTAAAGACGTGACAACACTTGGGCTTCAAGCACTGCTGAAATTCTCAAAAACCGTTTACATCCTAAATGATGTATACTTAACTAAATCTGTATTTCCATCTGCCATCACTAGGGACCTATTGGTGGTGGTGGTTGGGTGTTCAGCCAGCCAGAATAACCTAACCCAACCTAACCTTTTCTACTAGTGTTTGCGGTACCTAATTTTATATTTTTATGCTGTTCACATTGCATTGTTATTCTACTATGAAATTCGAAAAAAAAAATTGGGAAAATGGGTTTTTTGTTATTTATCATCCCAAATATCTAGAAAACCGCCGCAAAATTTTGCTGCCCAGTGTTATTATTCGTATCATTCAAACAGAAAGCCCTTTATGCCGAATTTCCACCACGCAGGCATATCAAACAGGTAGTAGCATTAGAGCAAAAACAACATTGGCGTGTGTTTTTTTGGTCCTTCTAGTATCGAAAGTGTCAAAAGCTGTTCTGATTTTTTTCTTCTAAATCAAAGCGTGCCATGTGAAATACAGAAAAAAATTAAAAGCTAAAATTTATGAAACTTTCTTTCTTAGTAAATTTGTTGCTTCTCGAAGCATTGATCCATCCTTTACAAGACCCAGAAATCCGCGGTTGTGCTGTTGAGTTGGGCGAGCGTTCCAAAAGTTGCTATTCACATGCAAATAGATTTCAACAATTTAAAAATTTTGTGAGTAGAAATTAAAAATATTTGACATTTTCGAGACCAAATAATTTGAAAAAAATTCAAATCAGCTGCTTTACTGATACTACCTGTTCAATGTGCCTTTCCACTACGCATTGAAATGACAAAAAATTTAATGACTATTTTTTTAACGTAATGACACGAATATTTTTTAATACCCAATTTTGTCATTACCATTTTGCCATTTAATGCCTAGTGAAAATCCAGCATTAAAAACATTTATTGTTTGTAGTGAGGCAAATATCCAATTGTTTCAAAGCTTCATTTCACAGTGACAAATTAACTTCTGATCTAGAGTTAACATGTACTCTGAAAATTTACCTAATGGTTCCAAAAGATTAAATATGTACCACTTGGGTACTTAAAAACTAATTTGTTATGTTTTTTTTTATTTATTTAATTTGTTTTTATGTTCATTACAGCGTTTATTAATATATTTTTCTTCTTCTTTGTTGTTATTGTTTATGAATTTTCTTATTTCGAGTTATTATATGTGGTTTGATGGTTGTCATTTTGCTTATATTCTTGGGTTTTTTGTTTGTTAAATATTCAAAACTGGAGACTATAAATACGTGTTTGTATTGGTTTCTCATGAATTGTTTTTCTCCTTTTTTGTTACATCTGTTAAGTTTTTGTTGGTGTATTCATTCTGTTTTTTTTTTTTTGGAATATTACAAAGTTTAATCATTTACTGTTTACTTAAATTTTGTTTCAATTTAGTTTATTTAAGTTAAGGTTATTTATGAAACTATTTTTGAAAGTAAATTGCTACAAATTAAAATATTAAAAGGTTTTTCTTTTAAATGAAAATATCGAATGGACTAAAATGGACAGGCATCTAATGATGTTTTGACTGTCTGGCGGCTTGAAGCATGTTAAGCGTTTGGGCTTTGATGCATTGATGCCTAGGAATTTCTATTTGAGTATTTCTAATTACATATATGTATGCATGTATGTATTTATTTACATATGTATCTTCACATAAAAAATTACAACTTCATTTTCATTTGAAATTAATTGGGGAATCATAGTCTAGCCATATTCGTGGTTGCAGATATTTTTCTTACGACTTTGTGTTTAGTTATCAGTATGTCGCATTAAAATATGTAGGCAAAAAAACAAAAATAAACATTTTGTGTTGAATTCCACATTTTTCTTTTTAATATAGTATACATATACATATGATTTCTAATAAATATGATAATAGATTACAGACATGCGCTACTTTTCCTGGATGAATTAAACCTGAACTGAAACTAATTTCAGCTGTAGAATTAATGCAAATGTTTTTGTTTATTAATGATGCCAATGCCGTTTCAATTTTAATTATCTGGCACAACAATCTCAATTAGATAGATGCAAGCGAGTTAATATTAGTATGTGTGTGGATGTGCGAGTAAACCGTACTAACCGTCTGCTTTATTACTGAGCCAAAGGAATTTTTTTTTACAAGAATACTATTTTAACATAGCTGCCATTTTAAGAGCAGCTTTTCGTTTCCTTTTTGCTTTCTTGCTTGCATTTTTCTCTTCTTAATTGGTTATTAAATATTTTTTCTTGTCTATATTTAAACATTCGCCCTCCATAATTTCAATTTAAAGTATATGCACGCAAACTCCCGCACGTGTACATACTAATTTTAAATTGCATTAAACAGTTGTCAAACTATATATGCAGTATATAACATTAAATGGTAGCCTTACGGTCGTCCTACAACTAGGACTGTCTTCGGTTGCGCCGCATTTTCATCTATTACGTACATTTCGTCGAGTCGTGCATTTCTTTCTCCTCTGCTTCCTATCCCAATATGCTTATCAAAAAGATTTACTTGCCATTCTTTATTGTTTGAATACATTCTCTTTTTTAAATTTCTCCTCTATCAATAATTTCATAATTCCTCCTTTTTAATATTTTTTTTTCGTGATTATAATGATTTAATGACTGGCTTTCTATTTATGATTTTGTCTAGTTATTATTGTTTTGTTGTTGCTATTATGTGTTCTTTTGTAATGTGCTTTTTTCTTGCCTCTTCATCTCGTGTTTGGATGTATGGATGCTATTTGTTTTTTTTTTTTGTATGCCACATTCACATTTTCACACCATTTGCCACACTTTGTATCTTTAAGCTCTAAGCTTCACTCTCGCCAGGCGTTGCGTTTTCCTCCGCAGTGATTGGTACAATGAGATTTTCCTTCGACATGAGATTGTATTTCGTAACGAAATGCGTAAAGCGGTGACATAAATACGTTTCAGCCTCAAATTCGTTGAATATTGGCTCATGATGATAATACGCATGAGAAAATATTCGATAAACACGACGGCATACGGAACCTAGTTTGGTCACCGATGACTCCTTAATTGAAACCCTAGAGAAAGAGAAAAATGCGTTTATGAATTTTTTGAGAACTAAACATTTAAAAAAGGGGCGATATTCATGTGCTATTATTTGTACCATGCATGAATATTACGTATTGAAACCAAATATATTTCTACAAATATTAAATAAGAGTACATTAGCAAGGAATTTTAGTTTTTTAGGCATTCTATTTGAACTGCTCTTTGAAATTATTTAAGGACAGTTATTGGTTCCTCCACTGAGCAAGAAATGTTTCTTATGAGAACTTTTTCAGGGTAGAATAACGGTTCCGTTACGGATGACAACCGAACTTCAGTGACGTTTCAGACACTAATGGTATAAACTATGGCAACTGAGTTTCTATATTGGCAATTGCATTTTTGTGATTGCCGCAGACATTCTAATTGGGAAAAATTATTATTTTTTTCAACTGTTTCTGCCAGGGCTGCAACCCGGTTTTGAACCGAACCGAACCGTTTTTATTTAAAAAAGCCGAAACCGAACCGAAAACCACCCCAGAAAATGGTTTGGTTCCGCACCGCACCAATTTTTGGAGTGGTTTGCAGCCCTGGTTTCTGCATCTTATTTACATACAATACTACTTTAAGGAATTTTTCGACACACCAAAGTAATAAATAAATAATATAAATTTTAGGCACTTGTACATTTGGTCACCTAAAATGCAAAAAATTATGTGGGGAGTTGTAGTTTGATTAAAACCAACATATAAATCAAAAAGTGAATTTTGAATTGTTTATTAGCTATGACTTTTTGCATTTCAGGTGACGATTTGCTAGTGCTTGGCCGAGCTTCACTTCGAATTTGCGGTGTGCACCTAGATGTTGTCACACAAAAGGGAGGGACCTACAGTTTTACGCCGCCTTCGAACGGCACATGGTTTTTTAATGGGAAGCTGTTTTCATGACGGGAATGCACTCGAAGGTGTGCCATTGCCCGCCGAGAGGCGACCGCTATGGGAAAAAACTTTTTGTTTGTATGTTTCTCGAACCAAAGATTAAACACTCGGCCAACGGAGTGGTAGTGCGTACCTCTAAACACTCGACCACGGTAGTCCCACACAAACAAGTATTGTTTAAACTAATTGCAATTTTTTATTACTTACCTGCTCGGAAAGTATTTATTGCTATTCAAGAGGCAAGCAGCACCATCCAGCGTGTGGCGTGTATAGTCAATGGCGGGGCATTCTTTTGGAGTTTTATGTGCAGCACACAAGAATATCCATTGATCGGTGGCTGTCATTTGTGTGCATGTTGTAGGCGAACATTGTTTTTGCAAACGTACAGCAAGCCCATTTAGCTCCATGCAAAATTGGCTATTTATATGTAAAATGAATTACTTACAACGGAAAGAGTAATACAATTCATTTGCTTTCAATATTGTACAATACTTACCGAAGATGTTCATATTTCCAGACGCCTTCATCTTGGGCTTCTGGCATCGTCAAAATTAACTCCACATTTGATGGATCACGCTTAATTAGTTGTTGAATGTATTGTTGCACAGCCAAGGTGCTGTCCATTTCTTCCAGCGGCTCATCGGCCCAGCGACAGAAATCCTGCAACACATTTATGTATTATTAAACCGCAATATGCTACGCGATTATCTTAATAAATGCAATTTTGAATTCATCCTCACTGCCTTGTGAATTGTTCTGTTCCACAAATTGTCATGGCACTGGACACTTGCTTACCTTCGCTTTTGTTCCTGGTCTGTTTCTTCGCAGAATCGTCGTGCTATCCGCCATCTTCATGTTTCTTCTAACTCTTCCCTTATAAGAAAAAGAAAGATCCACTGAAGTGTCGTTCCTCTCCCTAGACTGGGCGTGTTAACCGCTTTTATGTCACCACTATTATAATTTCAGTATACAGATAACAACAAGCTTATTGAATTTATGGACTTAAAAATTTTGATATGAAAAATAGTGAGTTAAAACTGATATTTTATATTTTATACGAAAAATGTAGTTTCTCGCACTCTTCTTTCCACTGCTTTTTCGTTTTGGAAAATTTTTGACAACTCCTTTATTCATTGATACAGAGTTGTTGTATGGCAAAAAGTGCATTGACAGGGTTGTATTTTCATTCATTTGAAAGCAATACCGGAAGTACAGGGTGTTTATGAAAATTTTTGACAACTCCTTTATTCATTGATACAGAGTTGTTGTATGGCAAAAAGTGCATTGACAGGTTTGTATTTGCACGAACTAATTAAAAATACCCTGAGCTCATCACCTAAGAATAAATTTCTCTGAAGGTGTTTTTTCCAGTGCACGGTTAAAATGACTGTGGTTTAAATTCAATTTAAACGTTGTTGTTGTTGGTGTAGCAGCATACAAGCTCCCCAAAGAGCTTTTGGGGAGTGTTGCTGGAGTGACAGTACTTGGCCAAATATAAATCTGGGTCGTTCCGGTTACGTAGACCCGACTGTCGTGGGTACGCAATGTAAACGATCGAGCCAGCTGGTTTAAACTAAGATTTGCCAATCAAATATCAGCTAGCTTTTATAAAAAACTGTACTAAATTGGTATTTTTTGTTTTCTTGTATACAATTTTAAATTTTGCCACATTTTATGTAACTTGCAAAAGTTTTTATTTTATAATGTTATCAGCAAAATTTTGCCCCATGGAGACAGCATATTGCTCTTGGCAAGCAATAGTTATCAGAGCTTTTATCTTGATAAATACGCTCTACGTTATCTACGTTCTTGGATAAAAGCTTCTTTCACATGCTTTTGAGTTATAAAATTTTGTAATAAATTTAAAGAGGTAAATTGTAAAAAAACATGTGTATGCCTAAAGTGTTTTGTATTTTTTTTAGTTATAATTGATTTTTGCTAAAACTTTAGAGGGTGCATACAACATATGTAAATCTTATCGTTCGTGGCGTTCATATTTCATAATGAATGATATCAAAAATTTTGAGATCCGTGCTTTCGTTTTCGAGACACAGTGAAAGCTCCCATAAGCGGACACCTACTTTTTGTTCGCCTATGGGACATGTCCGCTTACGTGAATTTTGCAAAAAATAATATTAAAATTTAAAAAACTTAATTTGCGAGTTCCTAAATTAAAATAATATTTATTCTTCAACTGATAAAACAGAATGAATGGAAAATAAATCCAAATTTATGGCGTTTTCTTTTCTGCCGACAAATCTTATTTCCCGCTTCGCTGAAGCAGTAAGAAAGGGGCAATAAAAGTTTTTTTTTTTTAAAGAAAACCAGGCCAATTTTTAATATAATATAGAAAGAAATCCTCCAATAATTAACTACCAGGGAGTAGCATTTTCCCCGAAAATTTGGGTGGAGATAATTCGAGCTTCGAAAAATCTCTTTAACACTTTTTTGACAGATCAACTCCGCCATTTAATATAAAAAATCCTCAGAGAATTTTTATTCATGATAGGAGGAAAGGGAAAAGAGAGAAAACTCCCAGGAAGTTTCCGTGCAGAGTTCAGAATCGGCCTGAACATCTTTGAATATGGACGTATGTACTTGTGTATATTTACATATGGACATGTGCAAGAGTCAACATCAGACCGAAAAAACATTGCCCGCTTATTAGAGATTCGTGTCCGCTTATCGGAGATTTTTTTCATAACTAGACATGTTTAAGTGTCCGCGTTTATCGGAAAGTCCGTTTATGGGAGAACATTTTGTATAGAAAAAAACCAAAAATTGTTCGTTCCAAGGAATGTGTCCGCTTAAAGGAGATGTTCGCTTATTAGAGCGTCCGTCTATGGGAGCTTTCACTGAATTTGGATTTAAAAAATGTTCTAATTTTGAACTTTGACCATTGGTAACTTCTGTAGTTTTCGATTTCCAGCAAAAAAAATTACCGTTAAACTTGCTTGATGAAACTGAATCAAAGAACGTAGATATCTACATTCCTCGCCTGTATCGACGTCCCGATCAGAAATTACCCTATCTACCTGTTTACCATGATAAAAGTATAGCAAGGTAGAACCGTTCTCTCAATTTGTTGGCCATGATTTTTTTTTGAAGTTTGCCAACATTTTAAAATCATATAAAAGTGAAAATGAAAAAATTAAATTTTTCGAAATTGTTGTTGCTTGAGATTGAAAATGAAAATGTGTGCGTGAGTTTGTGGGTAAATTTAAAAATTAAATTGTTTGGAAACGTCAAGAAATTTAAAAGTGACTCTCAGCGGTTCTACCTTACTATATTTTTATCATGCTGTTTACAGTGATGACTCAAGTCTTATTAGGATTTTGAAACAAAACGTTGATGGGTTAATGATAACAGCCAAATTAAACTAAAGTGGCAACCTTCAGTTTGACATAAGAACAAAGTGACAAACATATTGACAAAGAAAAGAAAAAGTGAAAACTGAACGACTTCAACACGAATTGCGTTTCAATTGTGCGAGAATTAAGGAAAATAATTAGTTGTTTGTGATATTTACTAGCAAGAAAATAAATAGAATTTAAATAAACAAAATGTCGTACGCATACTTATTTAAATACATCATCATTGGCGATACTGGTGAGTCTGCAAACGGAGCAAAAAATTGGTTATGATGGGTGTACAAAGAGTGAAAAAAATTTTACTTGGAATTTTTTTTTTGCATGCTAAACATATGTATGCAAGCTTCAGCAAAATATGAAGCTTAAACTTTTACAATATCTTTTTTGCATGGCATGCGTTTATGTTTCGCTCGACTGATTTAGAGAAATACAAACTTTAATTAAGCGTTCGAATATAAAACTAACGAGAGTGGTTTCTTTCCGAGCACTATCCATCTTGCTGGTGCTGGAATAGTTGCAGGTGTTTGTAGCTACCAGCGATGACTAAAGCATAGGACAATACCTTGAAAGCATTGTTTGGAAAATCGATATTTTGATATTGTAGCGGGCGTTGCTGTAGTCTAGTATATACACATGTACATATATACGTGCTGCATGTTTTAATAAGGGTTACTAGTTGCTGGAGCAAGGGAAGGGGCGGATAATTTGATATCTGATTCTATTCGGTTGTTTGTTTATAGCATGAAGTTATCCTTCTAAATATGCTAAGGAACTGATTGTTTAGGTGACGCTGAGTGTACTCAATTGGTTTGAGTCATTGTAATTGATGTAATTTATGGTATGCGAATCTACGAAGCTGAACAGCTGCTTCAAAGGGTTTATAGAGTGTATGCATGTATGCTTTTAATATTATACGCACACTCGAGCGTAATCAAAGCAATTACACTTGCTAATTGTCGTATGACTAATTTTTAATAGGTCGATTCTTAAGTAAACAATAACAAATTTTTATAACTTATCCATATTTTCAGGTGTTGGAAAGTCTTGCCTCTTACTGCAATTCACTGATAAGCGTTTCCAGCCAGTGCATGATTTGACGATTGGCGTGGAATTTGGGGCGCGTATGATTACAATTGATGGCAAACAAATCAAACTACAAATCTGGGACACAGCTGGACAGGAAGCGTTTAGGTAAGTGTTTTATGAGCCAGTAACTCTATTACAGTTTTCACACAGAACTTGAATTTTTTGCAGATCGATAACACGTTCATATTATCGCGGTGCAGCCGGCGCTTTATTGGTATATGACATTACACGACGCGAGACTTTTAATCACTTGACTACATGGCTGGAGGATGCCCGTCAGCATTCGAATTCGAATATGGTCATTATGTTAATTGGCAACAAAAGGTGTGTATAAAAAATATCATTCGATTCCGGAAATACGCTTAATGTTGAGGTCGTGTTTGTAACCGAAATATGTAAATACTGGATATACTAAATTTGGTTTTTTAATGTCGATTGGCCTTTAATACTTTAAAGCATGATTGCCTACACTTAAGAAAAGCGGTGCTAAGTGTGGATACTTTTCATAGGTGTAGTTTTGATAGCAGCAAGTCTATCCCTAATGCAGCGGAAATGGTTTAAGAATTAAAAAATTTTTCACCTATCACCTTCTTGATTTGACTAAACTGTAATTGTTAGTATATTATCAAGTTCATTAGCATATAAAGAAATGAAATTTATAATTTGGGCCAAATTCCAACTCAGTAAACGAAAAGAAATTTCAAAAGCAAAAGTAGAGAAAATCGACCAAAGTTGTATGGCATATTTTTGCCTTTAGGTAAACAAGCTACAGCTGATATACACAGAGTTGTTGCTGGAATACATACATGCATACAACTGTACACCATACAGGGCATGTCTCCCATTACGCCACTTACGACACCACAGCGATGATTCATTCGCTACCAGTTCATTTTAAGTACTTTCCTAGAATATATATTCATTATCAGTATTTCCTTGACATAAATACGCATCATTGGTTTTCAAATGCGCCTTATTAATGCATGCATATACTTTTCTTTGTAGTGATTTGGATTCGCGACGTGAAGTGAAAAAAGAAGAGGGTGAAGCCTTTGCACGCGAACACGGGCTTGTTTTTATGGAGACGTCTGCTCGCACAGCCGCCAATGTAGAAGAGGCATTCATAAATACCGCAAAAGAGATTTACGAAAAAATACAAGAAGGCGTTTTCGACATAAACAATGAGGTAAAAGAAATACCTATTTATAATAGATAACAAATGGACAACACTAACCATAATATCGGTATACAATTGCAGGCAAATGGCATTAAGATTGGACAACAGCATTCCCCAACAAATCCCTCACTGCCGGGTGCTGGTAATCAGGCTGGGGCGGCTAGCAGCGGTTGCTGTTAAGTGACACTTCTCAGCTGCGGCTGGTGTTAGTGATTTTTTCTAGTATACAAAAACAAAAAACCATAAACAACTAATAGCTATATATACCATGTTTGTTCTTTTCTAATGTCCATTACATATTTTTTGTTTATATTTGTTTTAAATCAATATAAAAAGTGAGATGTTTGTAAGGGAGAGAGAACAACATTTCACCATATACTTAAATGCTAAGAAATGAAACGAATCTAAAAATACCTACATTTACAATACAGATCAATTGCACGCAAGTAGAACATCACAAACAAAATAAAGTCTTTTAAAACCTCTGAATTGATACCGTAATTATTAGAGTTATTGAAATCGATAAGAATACGACTAAGATAGATCAAAATTGGATTAAAAATGGCGGAAATTATGGTGCATAACCCAAAGAAAAAATTAATACCACAGTAGCCGCAGCCACTGATAGTACGTAGTAGTTGTATTTTCCAGTTCCAATTTTTTATTATATTCGCGCAAACATTTTCTTAGACTTTTAGCGCGATAAAGTAAGTTTTGCTGTAAACGCATTGCCGCTATTAGAAGTAAAAAGAAAAGATAAACCAAAAGATTTAAATGGGCTTTCAAAAATAACAAAAACCAAATTATATGCATAAAATTAAATACATAAAAATATGATATATTTTAATGCTATACTGATTGATTGATTATTTATTGAACTACAATATCTAGAGTCATTAAAAAAGAAAAAGAAAAATTAAATACGCTATAAATATGAGCAACGCATACATTCTAATTATGCAAAACTGAAGTTAAAGATTTTATACATACATAAGTGGATAAACATGCCCATATACATATAAATAAACGCTACAAGTATTTTGAGAGGCACATGCATATGTACATATGTAATATCTATGTATGTGCGTTCATTTGTATGACTACGTATTATGTACATACATAGTTACAAATGTTTCCTGTGCTTGCGTTGCGTCCGTGTTGCCCGTTCGTTGTTTTGCTGTTGTGCATTGTAAAAAATGGAAGTAATTGCTACAGAATTCGCTTCAATCATTAACTGACGAAAAGAAAATAGAACGAAATCTAAAATGCAGTTATTTATTCTTCGTTCGCATTTTCAATGTCCTGAATGAATCAGTCCTGCCATCATTCCGGCCCCTGCTCACAATTTGTATATCGATGGCTGAGTGGAAGATCGACCTATCTCGGCAGCCAATTCGAAAACGCCTAATCTCAGAAAATTTTTCAACAACGCTTTATCTCAGAAAACTTTCCAAGAACGCCATATTTCAGAATTTTATTGGAAAACACCCTACCTGAGAATTGGGTTGAATAACGCTCTATCTCAGCTGCCGATTCAAAAACGCCCTATCTCAGCTTATTTTCAATGTATTTTCGTTTGAGATAGGGCGTTTTTGAACCGAGTTCTGATATAGGGCGTTCTTCAACAAAATTTTGAGATAGAGTGTTTTGCAATAAAATTCCGATGTAGGGCGTTCTTGAAAAGTTTTCTGAGATAGGGCGTTTTCGAACTGGCTGCCGAGATAGGTCGATCTTCCACTCAGCCATCGATTTGTTTGATTTTGTTCGCATAAATTTTTGCTTAGATTTTTTCATACTAAATTACGATTGGCATTAATTAGTTAATTAACTATCTAAATTATATACATACAACCTCCATATGGGACCATGAGGGTCAGAGGAGCCTACTTACAAAATTTTTTTTTAGTAATATGAGAAAGAAAGATCTATAAAAAATAAATGCGGTATTTTACTAAAACGTTCATTGCACGTGATGCTACATATTTTAGTAAAAAAATACTAAAAGGGCGTGGCTCGAACTATTCCCGTTTCGATTCTAGAAATGTAGCTTTTTTCAAAATGACAGGCTACTCTGGCCCTCATGGCCTCAGATGTACCTATGCGCATTTGGCTTTACATTTATGTGCATACAGACATGCATAACAATATATACATACATACATATAACATTGCTATCGTACGAATTATTGCCTAAATAAATATTTTACATAAACATTTGCAAATAATTTAAGAAATAAATATTACATAAACCAAAAAAAACAAAAGAAAATAATCATTGTAAGAGAAGAATTACTAAGAAAGTAAAGTTTGATATGGGACTATATAAAATAAATAAATTCATACACAAACAAAACGAAAATAAATCTAGCTTTTCCGGTTTACTTTGAAAGCGAATATTAACTTTTTACATACACTCTGGTCTTCTGTTTAAGGGCAGCGGCAATTAGGGCTTTTACACAAGCCGGCGATGGGTTCGAAGGTGTCATCTGGCGCTAAGTCGGGAAGGTGTACTGGTCTAATTGTCCTTGGCCGGGGTGTCCGGGTCGATATGGTGAACGTTGAACCGACAATCCTGAGATGTTAAACAAGACTAACTATGTGAGCGTCCGTTCACGTGCCCTACCATTCTCAACTGGCGCCCGCCGAACTGAGCGCGAGTTCCGCACAGTCCTAAAGGCAGCAGCCGCCCGCTTCATCCCAAACGAACGAACAGCGGAGATCCAACCAGTCTTCCCAACAGAAGCGGCCCCTCTCGCTGACGTGCAAGACCGAACCAGGCGAGCTAATTCTGACGATCTTAGCACCAAAGGCCTAAACGCTGAGACCAAGCGTCTCGTTAACCCAAAGCGGAATACATAGTTGGAGCACCTCAAATCATGCAATCATCGAGGAGACGTCAGTAAGCTGTGGATAACGGTAAAGCCCCTCTAGAACCCGTCGAAGTACGATAACCATGCGGCCATCAAATTCGGTGAATAAATGCACGCCGACTCCATGAAGTGCTCGCGGTTTATTGCGCATACTCCGAAAAGCACACAGCACGCGCGTAACTGACAGTCCACCAATATTCACCCCCAAAAAAGTGCCAGATAAAATTCACAAGACCAATGCCACGAAATCTGTCGGGCCGAGATGCCATCTCTGTGCCGATGCTAAAGCAACGACGCCACAGGAGTCGAGTAGCTTACCAAACTTTTTAATGCGCCATTAACTATACACATCATCCCGGATATCCAAAAAAAAAACTAGTGAGTGATCCGCGTGCAAAAGCCTGGGGAAAGCGCGGATTTGAGTGAATCCTCACCGATCACTCTTCTCTCCCCGGTGGCTAAGACCCTCGAAGCGCTACTCCTCCCGCAATTAGCTCAACATCTGAAACTTGCTTCACATCAGTTCGGATTTAGGAATCTACATAGCACTACCACTGCACTTAACCCCATCATAATGAAAATAACGGACGGTTAGAACCAAAAGCAGCCCTGTGTCTACCATCATATTTGCACTTGACCAGTCAAACTCCTTTGACTTCATCAATTATGCCACAAAACGGGGTACTATCTCAAGTTCTGTTTAACCTTTACCTTCTACCTCAAGGAGTCTCCATAGTCTCATACGCTGATGACTGCTCTCCACATTGCTCACCCGCTACCTCCAGCACCTGCCCAGCGCGCACCTTACAAATCTCGGCCGCTTATTAAACAGCAACAATTTTCTACACCTGGACGAAAGAAATGAGGCTGGAATTATATCGTCGTTTAAAGTACAAAACCGCGTATCAAGAAAATGCAAAACCTTGTATTTGAAGTTGCTAAATTTTATAGGAGAGGGGAAAACTTGTCTCTCTCTCTCTTTTATCCTTATTACCTTCTCTTCTAAAGTCTAAGTATCGATATTTTAGTACCATGAACGGATAAGGGCTTGATGCCAGGAACTTCCGGTGAGCAAATATCTTTTTTGGCACAAATGTCAGTTACGAGGTTTTACAGAACCACGATACACGGTTTTGTACTTTAAACGACGACATGTAAGTATATGCTCGTTGACATAGTCAAGATGCCGACAGTCAACCACCCAATGATACTTCGTGTTACGTTTGACAGCATTCTGCCCTTCTCGGCACACCCTACTATGGTTTGCAATAGGCTGCGAAGCAGAAACAAAGAAAGCCTGCTTGCGACATATGAGGACCGCAGTCTGTACCAAAACACTGCTGTCAACAGTCTTCGTGCTAGGATGCCACAGGACAACTCATCCTAACTACAGTTTGACACAGAGAGATGTACCGCCACGACACGTAAGCAGATACCTCAATCATCGACTGAGCCGCGAGGCCTACCCGGAAGTCATCAAAAAACTCCATTGCCAAGCAGTTATCACCGCAACGCGACGATGCTACGAAAATATAGTCCTCTGTGACTGGCCGCCACCTATCGATATGAGCCAATTTGAACTCCCACGCGAGACTAGAACCACATTAAAACCGGAGATCGCAGACACCTGCCCAGTATGTAGAAACAAGAAAATTTGGCGCATCCTGCTGATGTAACAGTTCTTGGTCAGTGTTTTGGTCGGTCCGGCAGCGTAGACCCGACTGCAGCTGGAACAAAGTTTATTGTTATTGTAACAACAAAACACATTCTCCAAGAACGAAAAATGCTACTGAATATGGAACATAGTCGAAATCTGTGCGTCTAAAATCCATATTTGACATAGGATTTCGGAAATTCGTTTAAAAATTCACCAAATGTCTTTCCTGGTACCTTCTATCTGGATCAGCATTCTGTGATCAGCATTCGCACTGCCAACTAAAGATAACTCGATTGAGTCAAGGTTTTTACTACTGCATGCTATTGAGAGCTCACGCTCGAAAGGCGGACCTCGTGATTCAAGGGTGATGCATGTCTTTGACAGAAATTATTCGTGATTTTTTTTTTCGTTTTATTTTTTATTTTTATTTTCAAACAATTGGTACTACATGCTTTGGCAAACTTAGTCATGGAGCGATACTCAGTTGAACAACGCGTAAAAGTGATTGAAAACAAAATAGTCGTTTTGCGTGAATTTTCCGGACGAAAGCAATATAATCTTTCTTACACTACACCGTTGAGCGGATTTTACCAAAAGACCTATGTTAACACGTTTTCAGCGCCGTATAGTCACCACTTAGGGTCAACACATAGTGGAGCGGCGAGCAAAGCGAAGAGCTATCATCGGGCAAAGCTTCAATTAAAAAAGTGTATGTACGATTTGCTCTTCACTATGCGTTTGAAATCGACGCTTTGCTCGACGCTCCACTATGTTTTTGGCCTTAGACGAACGCTGTACTGTAGTGTTTAGCAGTGCGCGCTACTATTTCGCAGTCCTGGGCCGCCCGCCCAATCTCTGCCCAACATAAAAACTGCATGCTTGAACAACCCACTCGTAAAATAGGTAAGCACCTTACAAGGTAATCCATGTATTCTCTCAGTTTTTAATACCAAAATTGTCATCATGACCTATGTCATCTACTAGTAAATCACAAAATGAACACCTCCGACGACGCATTACGCTGTCAGTTGCAATAACTCCGAGCGACTGCTCTACATACTGCGTAACTTATTTTGAAAAGCGGCTAAGTTGTATGCCTGATACCAAATGTACATTCTAAATTCCTACTTACAAAAGTCCCCTTTCAGACACGTCAAGTCTTGAAAGCAATTTTTTTCGCATTCTCTTTTGTGCTTTCTATTTGCTTCCACACGCGTAAACTTTAATTGAATTCAAGTCCTTGGTTCTCAAATGGGAAGTAACGAAAAGATCAAAAGAGACAAGAAAACTTGAAACGAATTGACGGTACGGAGGTATCTGTACTCTTCCCCTCTCTTCCCACCTTGAAAGCAAGACTTGACGTGTCTGAAAGGGGACTAAGGCGGCACCGCCTTTGTTAAAGTAAGTGAGATTCGTCAGTGAAGTGCTAAGGACCGCCGGGTGAAGTGTAAGCTGCTGGTAAGGTTTTGCACTTCACCCGGCGGTTCTTACCACTTCCCTTGCGAATCTTCCTTATTTTAACAAAGGCGTGGCCGCCTTATGTAAGTAGGAATTTAGAATGTACATTTGGGGTCAGACATAATTCTGAGCCGCTTTACAAAGTAAGTTACGCAAAATGTAGAGCAGTCCCTCGGAGTAGTTCGGCGCTTGGAAAAACTTCGGTAGCAGGTTATTTTGCAACTGACAGCGTAATGCGTCGTCGGAGGTGTTCGTTTTGTGCTTTGCTAGTAGAGGACATTGTCTCTTTTACTCTCTAACATTCTTTGCGGAATCACTTTTTATTTCCCAAAGCAAGGGATTGATTAAAGACCAGAAAAATGATTTGGAAAGGTGTATGTTTAAAAATTTGGCAAAGAATATGCTGACATTAGCTATTTAACCGCAAAGTAGTGCCGTTGCCAAAAGAAAATTTTCAGAGATGAATCTCTTTAAAAATAAATACAAGAATAGGCTTAATGGCGAAACCAGTGACATAACTATTATAAGAGAAAAGAATAAAAGGCAATCAATTATCATTATATTAAGATAAATATTTTTCGAGTCGTTTAAAATTATTATTCAAGAACTTATATTATAAAAGTCCTTTCGTAATAATTATCAGAGAAATAAATATTTTTAAGTCTTCAAAGACTTTTATATTAAGACTTATATTATACAAGTTTTTTCATAATAATTATATTGATATAAATATTGTTAAGTCTTCAAAGACTTTTATTTTAAGACTTATATTATAAAAATCTTTTCATAATAATTATGAGCGCGAAAAAATTTTTTAAGTCTTAAAAGACGGGCCTAGGTCAGGAGCATTTCAGGATTAGTTGGGGACCAGTTCGTGGCTAGGTGGGGTCAGTTCGGGAGTAGTTTGGGCCCAGTTGGGACTTGGTTTGGCACACCTTCGGGACTATGTACAAAACTTTTTCGCACTCATAATTATTATCAACAGACTTTTATAATATAAGTCTCAAAATAAAAGTCTTTGAAGACTTAAAAATATTTATCTGGCAGATAATTATTATAAAAAGACTTCTTTATATAAGTCTTAAAATAATAGTTATCGATGACTTAAAAAAATTTTCTCACATAATTATTATCAAAAGACTTTTATAATTCTTACGAAAATTTGGATGACTTTTTTAAAACTCTACCATGAAATAGTTATTATTCTGGGTCTCTGGTCGAAACTGTTGAAAGCTTTATGTTCGCAAGAACTTTTATTAACAAAATGCAAATATTGCATTATTATAGAAAAAAATGTGATTAACTAAAGAAAGTACCTAAAGCTGTGCAAATTTTTCATTCACTATTTAATAAAATAATGTTAATCTGGCCCGAAAACTTCGTTTTTTCTACGATTTTTCGAGTCATTTACTCCCGTATCGAGTTTCAGTAGTCCAAACGCTGGTCATGGTGACAATTTTGGTACTAAACTCTGAAAGAAAACATGGATTACCTCGTTTCCCAGTGGGGACAATCAGTTGGTGCCGATTTTTAAAAAAAAAATAGGTTCAGACCACTTGATGAGGAAATTTTCTATAACAGTATGCAGCTGCTTTCCAGATAATGAATTGAAATCCGTTTTTATACTTAAATATTTGTATTTATTCTAATTTATATTCTAATAAATACCTATGTATTTGCGAATCTATAACTAAAAACATTACATATCTATTCGTATTTCTAACTAAGTATTCACTCTGCTTATAACTCTATCCGTATTTACTATAATTTTTTTAATTTGTTAACAAACAAATTTAATGAACTAGTTGAGATTTCTTAGCTGCACAGATGCCGCTGTTCTCCAGTTTCTTAAAGAATTCTATCGAATAAGCAGCCACACCAGATAAGAAAATAAATACGCCGGCAAAATAAAACACGTGATCCCAGCTGTAATGGAACGAAAAAATAAATATCTTATTAAATGATTATTGATATTTACATATGTACATAAATTCAATTTTCACTTTAGATGTTCCTTACAAAAATCTAACTTACCTCAGCGTTACCTCGTAAATAGCACCAGCGATGGGGGGTCCTGCAATCATACCGACACCCTGTACCAACAGCACTAATCCGTAGGCACATGTAAAATCTTCTAAATCCACAATACTGACACAAATGCTGGGTGTAAATGAAAATGAGCTGGCAAATGTGAAGCCAAATATGACGCATGATAACAACAACAAACTATAGGTGGACACAAGAAAGGGCATTAGCAGCACCGATATGCCACACACTGAAAATAATGTAAATACAAATAAAATGCTTTGGAAAAATTTGTGTTGCTTTAGCGATTAATAGCCAAATTACTAGTCGAACACATAGCTGTATTTTGTACATACTTACCCATCATACACGCCGCATAGCAGATATTGACATTCATCCAAGGACGATCACCCAAATAGCCCAGAGTGATCATGCCAAATGTTTGCGCCGTACCAATAACCGAGATTAGTTGCGCACTGTTCGACGTTTCATAACCATGGATTTTCATGTATTCCGGCAGGTAAAGGTATGGTATAATAAACCTGTGTGTAAGAAAAGCATATGGTATATTAGAAATTAAGAAAATTTGATCCTTAAAAATTGTGCGATGGTGCAAATGGAAGCTTATTTCATCTAGTTTTGAATGCCGTAGCGCAATTTCATGAAATCAAAATGGCGAAACCAACATGGTAGACAAATATTAAAAAATTTCAAAATTGAAAAAAAAAATATTAACAATTTTGCATAAAAAGTGTATTAAGAACTTTTTTTTTATTAAATGCATAGTAAACTCCAAACTATACAGCGTCTTTGAGTCCATGTAATGGCTCTTGATGAAAGGAAAATTTTGTTCGCTCATCTTTACACAAAAATGGAAAGTGCCTCGTACTGATTTTGAGAAAATTGTTCCGCAGAATATTTTTTAAAAGTCGGGACGTAGTGTTTAGATTTTTTTTATGTGGTATTTTTTTTTTGTGGAAGGTGTTGCTCATTTTCTCCATTCTAAAAAATTTTTAACATACTTTGTGTGGAAGAAAGAAAAAATTGACAAAAATCAACGTTGGGTCCAAGCTAATTCAAGTTTGCTAACTAAAGTTTGTTACTAAAATTTGATGGGCTACAAAACTGCATAGTCAAAACAATTCTAGAAAATCCGATTAAAATGTTAAAATAAAACTGTATTAAAAGATTTTATGCCTTTTTATTCTAAAAACAAAATAGTATGTTTGGATGCAATCCTTTAGAAATGTAATGAGATTTGACAGAATGGACAGGAAATAACTGAAGGGCTGTCTACACTTTGCCGCTGCAGATACGACCATTAAAGCGCCAATTGCGGAGCACCTTGTTGAGTTTTCCACCACATCTTGAGCGACAAGAAGGATCGATATTCTGGTTAAAACGAGAAAATCGAGCTGTTCCAATGTACAGTGAATCTCTTGGTCGTTGGAGAGCCCACAGTGACTCGAAACTTGAATTGCTGGTCATAACACTCCACAGCTTTCGTTTTCAACCAAGTTAAATTTATACAATTAACAAAAGACCTTTTCATTTGAGTCCAATTTTTAAGTTTTTATTTGTTTTTGCTAAATTTTTTAATGCACAGTGCAGAGAAAGTAGCGGTTTTGAAGAAAATCGACTGCCCTGTTCCTATTAATAAATGTTACATAATAAAAGCTAGTTGAAATCAATTGCAAGGTTTCTCAAAAAAAAAAAAAAAAAAAAAAAA